GAGCGTAAGGCGCGGTGACGTGTATGGGAAAACATAATCGGCACCCTCCAGACGGGGATTTGGCGCCCCCTCTGGTGCTGCGCCTCTATGCGTTGCATGCGCTGCATACCCACTTTTTGCACCACTGCTGTTGATTAATATCTGCTGCTGTGTGACACAAAAGGCTGCACTCTGTAAAAGTTTTTCTTCTATGTGGTTAATTTCCATTTGTTTTACACATTTTCAGCAACATTCATTTTATGGAGATTTTCAAACAGGGGGCAGGGTCTGAAAGAACAATGGTTGCTAAATGGAAATGGCTTCCTCAGTCATCAAACTTACCTCAAATTTTCCCCTTTTCTCCTGCGGCTCCACCTGAGTCTTGTTGGACAATGCTGCGTCACTCTTCGGAACGCCCTCTCCCTCCATTTCTTCCACTATCATCACAGTCTCCCACTTCCCAAAGGTGGTGGCAGGGAATATGTCTGACCTCATGCTATCTCCAAAATACGCCACCTGCAGATTCAGAAGGACAAAGCACCGTTTCATTTCAGCTGTCTCATAGGGACCATGCTCTCAGCAGCAAGTAGAAGGAACCACAACAGTGTCTCTAGGATGAGAGCCTTGCAAAACTATTCACACCTTTTGAATACCTTCACATTTTGTCATGTTACAATGTTACTCAAGTTTGAATAAAGTTAAATGTACTAGTGAAGTGGAAAAATATGTATGGTTTTCTAAATTATTTACAAATGAAAAAAAAGCGTGGCATGCATCTGTATCAAGTCCCCTTGACTCAACACTTTTTGTCTTTTGGGGGTTTGTCTCTACCAGCTTTTCACATCTGGAGAAGGAATTTTTCGCTCATTCTTGGGTGTAGCGATGAACTCAGACCTGAGCCTTCAGAAATTCATAAATGCAGTTACAAAGTCAGCCTTCAATCACCTGAAGGACATTCCAGGTTTAAGATCTAAAAGGACTCATCCAACCTTCCAGACCTTTCAGGTCTTCTGGTTCTGGGCATGCAGAGCAGACATAGAGAATCAGCATTCAACTTCTATGCACCAGAATCTGGAACAACCTCCCAGAAAACTGCAAAATGGCTGAATTCCTTTAAATCAAGGATAAAAACCTATTTGTTTTGATTTACAAGAACAGGAACATATGTAATGTTTGCTGCTATTTCATAATTGCTTACTGTATGATGTTTTTATTGTGTAAGGCACTTTGAGCTCCGGTTACTGAATTGTGCAATACAAAATAAATTTTATTTGACTTTGACTAGCTCATTTTAATATGAAAATGCTGTGACGCAAATATGCCATCTGCTTCAGCTGCATATTTTTTTTGGTTGTACAGGAAGATGAACCCAGTCTCAACCTCTCATCGATCTTCACATTATCTTTGCATTCCCACAGTATGAAGCTGACACCACCATTTATCTGTATAATTGCCCTGAAATGAAAAGCTGAGTTGATGTAAACATCACTGAAGTAGAGAAGAAGCTACTTGTACTGTCTGACAAGTAGAATGAGCACCTACTCAAGTGGGTGTGACTAGAGTCTATACCCATGCTAGTCATCAGCACTGACAGAAAAGCAATGGTGGTGTTCTGTCAGATCAGCATACGCTTAGCACGAAGTGATGGCTATATCTGTCAGACAATACGCTGTCATTACCGTATGATTTTATTTAATCAGCAACATAGAATCATGACGTAGATCATCATATACTTTGTTATTAACTGTATGACAACCTGTCTTAGCAGTTAACTAGTCAGACTGTCATCAAGCAGCAGGGAGGCCAGTTTTACACGGGCGTGTGTTGTAGCTGACTGCAGCTTTAGTCTCTGCTTTAAATACACGTTAGAAACCACGACAATGCATGTATATCTATGTAGCTATCATTGAAAACAGTTTATTGACTTATTTTCATCGTAACCTGTCGCATATGCTGAACTGACAACTCATCTGAAGGTCAGACTTCTCAATGCGCAGGCATGTGTACATGTGCATGTATGCTACTCTGACAGCATATGATGATCTGATAGAACACCGGCAGAAATCACATTTCCACCATATTTTCTTGGAATTGCCCTCAGCTGGTTCAATGAACCAGAGCCAGCATCTCTTATTGCTCAGCAGAGCCGATTTCAGAGCCAAACGATCGCTCTAATAAATATTTACAGAGACCAAGAATTCCAGCACAGAAGCAACACATCATAGAAGGGAGTCATTGCTGACAGAACCATAAAGACATCTAGACAGCTGGTTAGACTTTAACTAGCTATTATTTTTAAGGCTTTCTCCAGTTCCTCTCTGAGGCCCTGGCATTTCTCCAGTTTCTCCTTTTTCCTGATGTTGTGGTCACTTGGTATTGCTACAT